TAGTGAGCAGGTTCACAGTGTCGTTGTGCTGTGTGCAGAGCCAGGGGAGGCTTCTGCTGTCTCGGGCCAGCCCTGTGCCAGGGACCCATCATTTTGTGGTCATTGAGGCTGTGTGATGGGCTTGGCCTTCCCTGGCCAGCACTGCGTCTCTGTGGATACTTTGGGAGCCTGACAGTCACACCCTGGGCAGTGCCTCCGTGACCCTCTCTTGTTTGGCACTGAGGCATTTCCTTAGCAGACCCACTGCCTTGGTGACGAGGTGCCCTGCCAGTGTCACCGTGGACTTCTCCTTCCCTTGTGGGCCTGAGGTGAAGCACCTGTGAGTGCTGCTTTCTGCTGGCCAGTCTTAGACACTTAGGACAGCATGGAAAGACTGGTTCTGTACCTGTGATTTCTGTCCTGTGATAGGACAGAGACTCGTCCCTTACTGATTGTATTCCTAGGAAGACTCTGGACAGCTCTCCTGCGCTTGCCAGCCACTCCCACGGTGATGTGCCTCTGAGGACCCGGCCCTTGGGAGACCCTGTTAGAAGGGACACATCTGCAGTGCCGTTGTTCTTCACTGCGTGGAATGACCGCTGGTGAGGGCAGTGTGCCCCTGGGACACCAGACACCGCAGCAGTGCTCAGGGGAGCCTGCGTGGCACCGGCAGGGGTGTGCTCTGTCCTTGTGGCCTGGCAGCCAAAGTCAGCAGGGATCGCCAGGCACCCGGCCCCTGCCCCCTGCACTCTGGGCGAGTTCACCCAGGCGCCTGTGTCTGAGCTTAACTCTCGGCTCCAACCCAGACTTCAGCCAGGCTCACGCTGGGAGAGCCAGGACGGCAGCTCAAGCTGTGTGAAGTGCCGCCTCCCGCCAGAGAGAGGGGCTCCTCAGCTTGGGACCTCCTTCCTCCTGCTGCAGAGCCCTTCCACTGTACCCAGGAAATGGGGACCTCCCTTAAGTCCTACGGTCACCTGCTGCTGAGTTTGTACGGTTTAGATTTTGTCCGGGGACAGTTGCAAAACCCCCTGTTCAACTTCTTATTCCCCTTGATGGGATTGGAAGTCACTCCCAGTGCCTGGATTCTAAGGTCAAGCACTTTGAACGACTTTGAGGTCAGCATGTAAACAATTCTGGAGTTTTCTACACAGAGATCTCAGTGCTGAGGTCTTAGTGAAATGCTCTAAACTTCTACTCAGGCGAATGGAAAAGCTGCACGACTCATTGGTGCATGGGGAGTCCAGTTCTGGCCATGGTGCAACTGGGGTCTCTCCTGGCTGATCCTCACCTTTGCCTTTAGTAACGGGGGTACCAGGGCTGTGAGGGCACAGCTGGGGGCCATAGTTCCACGACTCTGGACAGAAAAGAGCATGAGAATAAACCCTGCTTCCGCGGGTCAGTCGAGTGGAGCTTTGAGGAGTGGCTGCTCCCTCTGTTACTGCGTGCTTCAGCCTCCCGTGCCTGGCCTCCCTCCGGAAGTCTGGTGGCACAGAGTGAGACCCAGCTGCAGCCTGCACAGGGCCTGAGTCCCCAGAACCCACCTGAAGTTCAGACACATGGGCGTTCATACGGATCACTGCAGCACTGTCTGCGTGGCTAAATTCACAGTTTTGGTTTTATTTGGGAGACCAGAGGCTTTAGGGGCCATCAAGTTCAATGTCACCATTTAAAGGAAACTGAGCCCCAGAGAGTGTAGACTGCGGGCAGGGGCCACACAACAACAGTGTCTGAAAGTCTTAAAAACCAGCTGGTCTAATATTCCCGTTTTACAGAAGGAAAGGTTGAGATGCAAAGAAGTGAGCCCTTCTTAAACACCAGTCGGTAGACAGACTGGGGTCAGAGCTCAGATCTCTTAAGTCACCCAGGCACTTTAAATTGTTTGGTATATAGTTAGTGCTCTGCATCCAGGGGTTTCTTACCGATGGACTCAACCAACCAAAGATAAAAATATTTTTTAAAAAGTCTATCTCTGCTGAACATGTAGTCTTTTTTTCTTGTCATCATCCCTGAACACTAGGGTACAACAGCTGTTTGCAGAATACTTACATCCTATCAGGCCTTGTGAGACATCTAGGGTGACAGACGGCATGTGCAGGCAGCAGGCAGACCCCACCTCCCCTTACACAGGGCTACGCACTCGTAGATCCTACTGTCTGCAGGGACCCCGGAACCACTCACCCCGGGCGCTGAGGGACAGTGGTGCAGGGGTTTGTGAAGGGCAGCAGAGAAAGGTGACTTCCAACAAACGCCCGTGGTTGCATGTAAGAGTTTTCCATCCTATATGTGAGTTTCTCAGGCCTGAGTGACACGGAGGGCTGTCACAGAGTGGGCGAGGGCTCCGGGGCTCCCCGTGTGGGAGGATTCCCGGGCATTCCTTCCTGGTCACGGAGACACCAGTGCTCCGCAGCTCATGCCACAGCTCACCTTCCTCCCAGCCCCCTCCTGCTGGCTCCTGTGGGCTGCCAAGGGCCACTCAGGCTGCTGGGCCCACCTGCAGGCAGGGATGACAGGTCTGGCCTCTGGCTCCCTTCCTCCCCTCAGAAAGATGCTTATTTTCTAGGCCGTTGGAGACACGACAGACTGCCCTAATCCACAGACATGCAGCTGAAACTTTTTTGAGGACTGACGGGTAAGTGATAGGTGGGCCAGAGGAGATGGTATGGGTGGAGTGTGGCCTGGGGTTAGGAAAAGGCCCGGCTCTTCCTCAGATGGGGGCTTGCCTCTCGCCTGCCCGCCCTCCACTCTGCCGGCCCCGCGGCTCTGTACATCCCTCACGCTATTGCCCCTCCCCTCCCCCAGTCCTGGATCAGTGTCCAGAGCTACGTGCCTGCAGTGGAGCCCGCCATGACAGTGAACTGGAAATGTGCTCCACTTCAGGAGCAAGGGGCTGTGTGCATTTCTTGATGCCAGTCTGCATGTGGAGGGCAGCAGCCAGGGCTGGCCCTGCTGTATGGACCTCTCCCCTCCCTGCACCCCAGAGCCTTTTGGGCCCCTCTCCCTGCCCAGCCCAACCAGGCAGATGTGGGGGTCACTGAAATTCACACATGCATCATACAAGAATCCAATGTTTTTGCAGTGAACGCACAAGAGGCAGAATTGAGCTTCCCTCACTCCAATTTTGAAAGTCCTTCGAGAGCTTAAATAGCTCAATTGTTTTTGCTAGATTTCTTGAGTTTCATTTCCCACTATTGGGTCCTTGTGTGTTTAGATTTTCAAACAAGGCCCTGTGTTTCCCTAGGAAGGGCAACCAGAGGAGGAGGAGGGACGCATTGTGAGCCACTGACGGCTGCCGCACAGGACCCAGCAGCAAACCCTACCCATGAGCTCTCCAGCCCTTGATTTCTCCAGCTCTTCTTTCTCCTTTTTATTTTTTTCCTGTGCTTTAAAATTCCTTGCAGTCTTCCCTCCTGACTGCACAATATCAAAAGCGCTCTCTCCTAATCCTCTCCTGGCTGCCTCCATTAATCACTTCTTTATTTCACAACTTGGCGCCTTGCCCTCTCGCCCACCAGCGAGAGCCCCTCTTCCCTCACCCGCCCACGGAGCTGGGTGTCTCCTTTCTGCTTTGCCGTCTAGCCCTCCTCATTTTATTTCGCTTTTTTAAAAAATTCTCCATTTCACTTTCATTTTTTCTCCCATCCTCCTAAAAATCAGCTCATTCTCTTGTTGGCACAGGTCATATTACCACGGGCTGGCTCTGTCTTTGGTGCCAGCCGTGGGCTGAGACCTTCCTGGCTCACAGTGGGCACCGTGGCTGGGTGTCCCTGAGTGCCAGACCCTGTGTTTCTCTCATGGACTCCCTACGGAAGCCTCCGGAACGCCACACAGGAGGGTTGTTGCCAGCCCCACTTATGCAGGGGCAAAGCGGCTTTAGCAGCGCAAGCCAGAGACTGGGCTGGGATTAGGACCAAGGCCTCCTGCTCCCGCTGCATCCCAGGGGCCACCACTCTGTGGGGCTGAGCCTGTGGACTGAAGCCTCATCCTCCCCTGGTGAGTGCACACGGGGCCACTGAGACCGTCACGCTGCCTGGCTCTGTCCTCCAGGGACTGCCAACTGCTCTGTGGCCTGGTCAGCTCCCCCTGCCTCAGTGGAGGGGCCTGAGCATCTCAGAGGGTTTGTCCCATCAAGGGCTTGGTGGGTGCAAGCTCTTGGTCCTTGCTGAGACTGCCCATGCTCCCTGCAGGATGACTGCCCTGGGCTGGGTCAGATTCCTTCTAAGTAACCAGCTTGATCTTCAGTGGAGCAGCGATAGTTAAAATGATTTATGAAAGGTTTCCGGATGTAAAATAACGTAAAATAATTGATGTTTTATGATTTGTGTTTTTTCTAGGGCTCTATTTTAAAACCAACTTCCCAGCTTATTACATAGTCAAGTAAGGAAATCTCTGATACCTATTTATTTAATTTGCCTTTTCTGAAATACTGATCCTCCACTTCAGCCTGTGAGTACCAAGCGTCTGCCCGCACTCCTGCCCCGGCGGCGGAGTCATGAGGCAGAGAAACAGAAGCTGGGTCCTGCCGAGGTGACTGGGACCACCCAATGCAGCTGGTCCCCTGCACTCAGGAAAGAAGGGAAGGACTGAGGTAAGAGTCCTGCTTCAACCTCACTCGAAGCCTGAGCCCCGCCTTCCTGCCTGCTGCTCCCAGGCCCATGGGGCGGAGGTCAGAGGGCTTGGGGGGCTCCTCCCTGGGAGGGCTCCAGGGTGACGCAGACCCAGGCCTGCAGCCTTCAGACCCCTTCCTGCCCCCACTGCCTCCCTTGGCTCCCTTTCCACCACGGAGTTGCCTTCTGCCCCAGGGAGCCAGTGGCGTGGTGGGGCCGCAGGTCTCAGGTGTCCAAGGCCGGACATGGTCAAGGTCGCGCTGTCGAAAGCCTCACTCACAAGCTTAAGTTCCCAGTAAAACGGAGCAGGAAGCACAGACCCTCTCCCATCCTGTCTGGCACATGCAGCCTCCTGCCATCAGCATCGCCCCAGAGGGGACTGTCTGTCACAGGGACAAGTGACACTGGCATATCAGGATGACCCAGAGCCCAGCTCTGCACTGGGGTCCCACTGTTGCCATTCAGCCTGTGGGTCTGGACAAATGCCTAGTGACACACATCCCTGTCAATGTGGCAGGCTTCCTCTGCTACACCTGCCTGTCACCTCTGCTCCACCCAGCCATCCACCAGCCATCCACCAGCCATCCACCAGCCATCCACCCAGCCATCCACCAGCCATCCACCAGCCATCCACCAGCCATCCACCCAGCCATCCACCAGCCATCCACCCAGCCATCCACCCAGCCATCCAACAGCCATCCAACAGCCATCCACCCAGCCATCCACCAGCCATCCACCAGCCATCCACCAGCCATCTACCCAGCCATCCACCAGCCATCCACCCAGCCATCCACCAGCCATCTACCCAGTCATCCACCAGCCATCCACCAGTCATCCACCCAGCCATCCACCAGCCATCCACCCAGCCATCCACCATCCATCCACCAGCCATCCCCCAGCCATCCACCAGCCATCCACCAGCCATCCACCAGCCATCCACCAGCCATCCACCAGCCATCCACCAGCCATCCACCAGCCATCCACCCAGCCATCCACCAGCCATCCACCAGCCATCCACCCAGCCATCCACCAGCCATCCACCAGCCATCCACCAGCCATCCACCAGCCATCCACCAGCCATCCACCCAGCCATCCACCAGCCATCCACCAGCCATCCACCAGCCATCCACCAGCCATCCACCAGCCATCCACCAGCCATCCACCAGCCATCCACCAGCCATCCACCAGCCATCCACCAGCCATCCACCAGCCATCCAACAGCCATCCACCAGCCATCCACCAGCCATCCACCCAGTCATCCACCCAGCCATCCACAAGCCATCCACCAGCCATCCACCAGCCATCCACCAGCCACCCCACCAGCCACCCCACCAGCCACCCCACCAGCCCTTCAGCGGAAGCCCTGGGTTTCTTGTTGCTGCAGTTCTTCCTTCTCCCAAACCCCTCTGCTTGGACTGGGCAACTTTCTCTTAGAAATGTGCACACAAGTCCCCCGACTTCTTCTCATGGCTCACGTCCATATCTTTCCGGGGCTGAGTAATATTCCAGTGCAATCCCTTCCTGCTGAAGGGCCTCCTTGGGGCTTCCGCCTTGGGCCGTGGTGAGTAGGGCTGCCAGGTTGTGTGGGGGAGCGGAGTGGATATAAGTTCTCAACTCACTTGGTAAAATACCAAGCATGTGATGCCTGGATTGAAAGGAATATAGCTTTGATAAATAGTGTGAAACAAAAGATATTACTAAGGTTCCTTTCTCTTTTAGATTTTCTTGAAGAGGTGGTGACTAGAAACCCCTGCCTCTAGCTACATTGTGTCCCTACCAACAGTGCTGGTTGGGCCACCCAGGAACCCCTTGGCAAGATGATGGTGACCCAGCCCTGGCAATCCTATCCCATCACCAGCACTACCCCTCAGAGAAGGAGAGGCCACACCTGGAGCTCCTGTGAGATTCTAGAGCTGCTGACAGGTTCCGGGCTCCAGGGCAGTCCTGGGAAGGGTTAGCTTCCTCAATTGGTGTGTTGGGGGCTTAAAGAGAATTTGAATTAGATTGAAAGGAGATAGGTCTTGGTGAAGTCTGCACAGGTGAGCTTGGTGGGTGACACGGAGCCCCGAGCAGACGCCAGGCCACCTTCCGCTCCGTGCTATTCCAGGCTGTTCTCGCTAGGATGGGGACATGTGGGTGGCCGTCACACACGACCACGTCCCGGCCTTCATGGCAGAGCAGGGCAACTGAACTCTGTTGAGCTGGAACCTAGAGAAGCCACGTCACAGGCGGGCAGGGCCACTGTGGGCCCTAGGTTGAGTGGCCCTGGAGGGGGATGCCCACAGGGGTCCACAGCAGGAGCCAGCAGGACAGAGAGGCACCATCTAAGAGGATGACTTCCAATTCAGGGTCTGGAACTCCTGTGCAGGTTCCCTGCCGGGACATCAGCTGCGCCATCTCCCCTGGGCCAGAACCGCTTGGCCAGCGTTCCCTCAGGGCCCAAGGGCTCAGGAGAGTGCACCCGTTTGAGCCGCGAGGAAGGAGGGCCCGGGTAGCACCGGGGGACGGAGACGCTCCCTGAGTGCCTGGCCCGCGGGTCCAGGGACCCTCCAGGCTCTGAGGTAGCCCAGTGGTGGATGGGGAGTGGGGCAGCAGGGCCAGCAGTCGGTGAGCTTGCTCTGGAGCCAGTGCCACCTGTGCAGACCTTCACTCTGCTCAATAGCTGCATGATCACAGTGAGGCTGCCCGGCGGCCTCGGGTTCCTCCTCTGTGATGGGCCCCGAGGCTTAGGTGGCCGACCTGGAGAAGACCCTCATGGAGAGGACCTCTGTCTGAATCAGGAAGCCTGTGTCCCCTGGGAACCATTCCACAGCTTCCTGTCCCTCCCAGAGGCCCGCCAAGCCTGCTGCCCGCCTGCAGCCCACCTTCCTGGCCCAGGAGCGAGGCCTCCCACCTCCTGTGCCCCGTCACACAGCCTGGACCGCCTAAACTTTTCAGCCACACAGGGATGCTGCCGACCACCCTAAATGCACAGAATGACCCCACCACAAAGAATCATCCTGCTGGAGACGTGGAGTGCTGAGACTGCGACGCCTGGTCATGCCAGGCAGGTGCCCTTACAGAACTCCAACCCCAGCTCACTCGAGCCTCCAGGTGGTGGATGGGGTGCTCCACACACCCAGGCTGTGTCCAGATGGGTGGACATTTGGCTGTGTGCCCAGGGTCACCACCAGTGTCTGCTGGGCCCCTGCTGGTCCTCCAAGGCTCTCAGATGCACGACCAGGTATGGGCACCGTTTACAGCTGGATGTAATCGTGAGTGTCCCTTCTGCTCACTATCAAACATTGAAATCTGCTGCCTCCGTTAATATATTTTAATGCTTATTCCCATAATTCATTCACCTCAAACTTCTCATCTCTTATGAATAAGTTCATCATTTTCTTTCACATTTTGTCACAAAAATAAGGATTTTAGCTTGTTCGAAAGCTCACGTTCCCCTTGACTCCCTGTGCAGCAAGATCGTGAACTGGCAGATCAGCTCTTCTTCATCATGCAGAGGAGGACGGGCTGGACTGCCACACAGTCAAATTGCTTACGAGGATAGTTCCTTTATTTGCAGGAATCACCAACGAGCAAGCTGCTCCCATGAGGGAAATGGCTGTGGAGCCAGGGCAGAGTGCAGGCAGCAGGGGCCACGGCCTCCGCTGAGCTTCGGCTCCGTGTCAGCAGCCCCAGCCTGGTGGGTGCCTTGTGAGATGGGTGAGCCGGCACCACGTCAAACCCAGCTCCTCCTGCCGACGTTCGCCAGTGCGCATCCCAAGGGGCCCTCTGCCCTTGGCCTCACATCTGGTGGAGTGTCACTCCGGCCCAGGATGACCTTAGTCAACACGGGGTGCTGTGCCAGCCGGAGCCCCTGTCAGGGGTCCTCTCAGGCAGTGCGGTCGCTTGGTGGCCAAGGAACCCTTCAACTGCTGGCTTTCGTCACGGAGCATGGCTTGCCGCCGAGTTCTCGTCTTGATGACCCAGCAGCAGGCGTGTCTACCCCAACATGACGGACGTTCAAGGGGCACTCGGTGGAATTCGGAAAATCTGATTTAAAATAAAAAGGTGTTGCAAACAGAGATTTCATCTAGTTTTCAGGGGAGAAAACCCATTTAAAAATACACGAAAGCAAAAGTTTGAAACTAATTCATATGTTTGCTGTCTTTGGGTCGTTTTCACTGTATGAATAAAGGAAAGAGGTGAATTAAAGCTATCCCAGGATATTACTTGTGAGAGGTTAAAGTATGTTCTAATGGGCAGATTAATTCTGTGGGGAAATAACGTTAAATCTTTCTGAAGCCTTGAAATTTCTTGAAAGCGTTCTTGCTGTGTTCCTGCGTTGCAACAAATGCGACCGTCAGGCTGGAGAACCTGGCATCTTAAATAGCTGTGCACTTAAGCCCTGTCAATTTGATCTTCCCAGGTTAATTGATTATTTCAACAAGCATTCGTGCCAGAAAAGATCTGAGTGCTTACATCTTTTCATTAATTCACGCTGTTTGGTGAGAGGTGAAAAGTAAGCAGGGGCTGCTGGCTTAACTCCTCGTTGCCTAGCCTCGCCAGAGGACGGGTCTGGGCTCACCTGGCCCCTTCCACCCTCGGCTGTGTGTTGGGCAGGGCCTTGTAGGAGAGGAGGCTCTCGGGTCTAGGCAAGCGCATTCTGCACACCTTCCCTGGCCTGGTGGCCAGACACGCACGCTGGACAAAGCAGGGCTGGGCTTCCTGGAAGAGCTGAGTGCCCAGCCGTCAGGGGTTGGTCATCAGTATCAGCTCTTCAGAGGCACAGCCAGGGTGGACACCGCAGCCCACTGCTGGATGTTAGGACCTGGCCCAAACTCAGGCCATCCTCTATAGGTCTGAAAATTGGGCAGGCATCAATGCGTCTTCTCCAAGGACAAAAGGAGGCCTCAAGCCCCCGGCAAGGGGGAGGCCCGGGCCGAGCCCCAGCAGGGCAGGGCGGGCCTCTCACTCCCAGACACCCCATGCACACAGCCTCGGTCTCTGCCCAACCTTTTGCAGCCAGCCCTAAGGAGCAAATGCTCTCCCCTCTTGGCAGTCGCTGGGCCACCACCTGCCTAGCTGCTGTGGCCTCTGGCCAGCGGGGTCCAACACTGCGAGCTTCCTTCTGGGTGGCCAGCCGTCTCCAGAGGCAGGAGGACAGGAGGAAGCTGCAAGGGAGACTCTCTGACGCCCAATCCTCCGCTCGGCTGTGCCCGAGTCCAGGGGTGCCTGCCAGCTGACCTCTCGCTGTCCTTTCCACATGAAAGCAGACTGGGGCAAGAGGGTCACAAGTGTCACTCCAAATCATGCAAACAGTGTCGCTGACCATTCCCACACCACGGCTCATGTTTTGTTCCCTTTCTTTTCCTCTTCAAAAAAGGGGAAAATGTCAAAATCATGAGAAGCAATCCAGTCCCCCCCAAATTAAAACGTGTGTAAATTAAACACATAGGAAGTGCTCAATATGTGGCAAATTGGTACAGAAAATACGGAGGCCCGTGCAGCCTCAGAGGCTGCCTGCACACGGGACGTGACAGGTATTATTGCCCTCTGCAGAATTATTTAAGCCCGGCAGGAACTCCCAGTGTCAGGAAGTGTCAGGGCCCTGTTATTAGACAAGTGTAATTAGGATTACCCCGCTGCTCCCAACAAGTATTTAATTAACTCCGAGGCAGGGTAATTAGCCTCAGATTGGGCTGATTTCCTCCTCACCTTCTGTTGACACTTGGCCCGTGCGCAGCATCACGCGTTGCTGACAGTGTAATGGATAGCGTCGTGGAGCCCGGCATCGGGACAGCGCCTGAGCTCACAGCCCAGCCTTGGGGAGGACAGAGACGGCCACCATGCCCATGGCTGGGTGTCGCTCAAGATGCCAGACCCACACCTGCCTCGCCCTGCCCACCAGCTCACTCTGGACACAACCCCCACAAGCAGGCAGGACTCATGTGTCCAACCAGTCCCAAGCAACCCCGGGGGACTGGCGACCCTCTGGCCCAGCCCAGCTGGTGGTGAGGTTACAGGAGCTGAGGGCTATGCCCAGCCACAGGCAACCCCAGAACCCTCCCCTGCCGACTGGCACCGCCACAGAGACACGGGCCTTGGTAATCTACCACCAGGACCAGGGCACTGCCAGGGAAACAGAGGGCTTGATACACTAACACCAGGACCAAGGCACTGCCAGGGAGACAGGGGACTCAGTACTCTACCACCAGGACCAAGGCACTGCCAGGGGGACAGGGGACTCAGTGCTCTACCACCAGGAACAAGGCACTGCCAGGGAGACAGGTGGCTCAGTACTCTACCACCAGGAACAAGGCACTGCCAGGGAGACAGGGGACTCAGTACTCTACCACCAGGACCAGGGCACTGCCAGGGGACAGGGGACTCAGTACTCTACCACCAGGACCAGGGCACTGCCAGGGAAACAGAGGGCTTGATACACTAACACCAGG